TTTTTTTTTTTTTTTTTTGGCTAGAAACTAGAGATGCTTCATTTAAACCTGCACCACTGGTTCAAAAGCCCATATCATCACTTCTACAGAAGATTAGGCAACGAAAATTAGAGGTTTCAAAAAAGTAAGTGGTTAGCTTTCTCTCACAGGTTTCTGCTACTTTCTGGTTAAGCTATGATTGGGCCTTATGTGTTGATTTTTCATATTTTAATTCTCAATGGATGATGGGTGTCTCACTCTAAGCAGAACTTCTATTGTTGATGTTGACGATGATCCCCCTTCGAAAGAGGTATTGTTGGAGCTTGAATCTGAAGACATAGTTGTTGAGGGAAGAGAGGGTGGAATTGCTGGTCTGAATATTTTGGAGGTGTCATGTGCTGATAGACCAGAGAATGTTGCAAATCACTCCAGTCATGTTGATATTCCACCTGAGATGGTGAGTCAAATGTATTGCTCCAAATGATTTATGTTTGTTGCCCTTTGGGTTTATGATGTGCTAGCAGTTATGTTTGCTAATTTATTCCAGTAAAATTCTTATTATAAGTCTAGGGACTGGATTTAATTTTGAAGTTAGTAAAACGATGTTTCTGTTTAGTGGGAATGATACTCCATGCACTTTTTCTAGTTAAGCTGCGGAACCAAACATTTTCTGAGGTTGAAATATTATTGATTTACAGTGACATAACAATTGCTTTATTCTATTTTGTTTTGTTATCAAACTGTGACATTAGAGCAGACACTTTCACTGTTATTCAGATTGTCATTAAAGACTTATCCCATGGATATTAGCTTTTCCATGTGATTTTTCATATGAAAGTTTAAGGTGGATGATCATAATCTATTGCATCACAGGCTGTGGATGAGGCACCCAAACAAGCATTTAGACTGCCTGTTGATGATACTGAGGTTTCTTTCCTTTGTTCCTCACCTGTTCTGATAGCAAAAATACTTATAGTAATGATTACTTGTATGTTATAGGATTTATTTTCTGAGTCCCAAACAAGTGACTCCAAAGATGAGCACCCCAACAGCCCTGTGGAAGTTCTGGCACCATCTGTACTTGCTATGAACTTAAAGTTTGACTCTGCTCCTCCTGATGACATGTAAGTGTCATATTTAATATTTTCCTCTCATGTTTTGGGATATAATGTCATTTTCCTTTTCACTTGGAATATGTTGATTTATGAAACCATTAGTTCTT